AATAATTATTAATCTTAATAAAATACTTAGTACACATAAAATAACAAATTAGATAATGATATGATATAACATCTATTATATTTGAATAAAAAAAATGCATACTTTAGTAAATATTTTTTGAAAAAATGTCTTTTAATTTATTTTTATAAATGAAAAAAAATAATTTTTAGCTAAATTGAATAAAATTATATTTAATTTATATAGTTACTTTCCTTATAATTATAAAAACTATAACACTTTTAAATTTATAATTACTATTCAATTTTGTTCTTTAAAAAATATTTAAATACTTATTTAATTTTTATATACTTTTGTTGATAAATTTTACTGTTATTCTATCAAAATTATTCGGTCATACTATGTCTATTGTTACTTATAAATATATGTTTATTACCAAAAAAAAAAAATAAAAAAAAAATATATATATATATATATATATATATATGACATATTTATAACCTGTTAATAAAATATTTTTTGTATACAATGAAATAATCATATTAATTACATTGGTTAGAGGTAAAAAAGAAATAAAAAAAATTATATTCTGTTTTATTTTAGTATATCATATTTAATTCATAAAATATATATATATATATATATAATATTGATTCAAAAATTATATTATAAAAATACTAAATCATAAATTTTATTTCATTTAATCCGAAAGAGTTGGATTAGTTATTGAGAAATAATAATGCTCAAATTAAGTTTTTTTTTATTTAAGTTTACCATATATATATATATATATATATATATATATATATATATATATATATATATATATATATATAATGACTTTGTAGTAAAATCCCTTAATCATTGATTAGGATATAAGATCTATTTTGTCCTTAACACATTACTCATAAATATGTTATATGTGTGAATTCATAAAAAATTAATTAGTTATAGAAGATTTTTTTATACATTTATTTACATTTAAAATAAATAAGTTAAGATTTTATATCTACGATTTATCGTATTTGATTATTGGTAAATTTTGTGTTATGATCTCTCGAAGTCATGTCTATTCGCATATCAAATTGTATAAACAATCTCTCATCAACACCACGATTAATAATTAACTATATGAGTCTAGTTGCATGTTTACCTTTTTTTTAGGTAGGTGACAAACTAAATTCTCTCATTTTTGTATGAGGTGAAATATCATATGGAAAAATCAATCATACATGACATATATGCACATTGTGTCATGAACATTGTCTATTTCATTGTCCTCATGTAATATTTGTACAAAAAGACATAATCTCTTTTGACATTTTCATCATTCTCATCACTAACATGGATGGTTCTCCCTCGGAGAACTAGAACTACTAACCATATTTTATTTGTAGGATTAATAACATAAAATATTTGTTTTACTTGAAATACTATGAATGACTCTTCTTTATAATATATACTTTGGAGGTTAATAAGGTAAAATCAAAATCATCAATTTTGACATGACTATTATTGTCCACCTACTTGCACTTAAAAATATGTACTTCAAAGATGAATCACCTATATATTTTCAGTTACATTAAAGTAATGGATTAACATCATAACATAGATATGTATTCTTTAAGTAGGTGTACTAATTTAACCATGACCATTACTTCACTATTTTATATGGTGTTTTTTTCATCTTCACCATTTGTATAATGAATAGTTGTTTATATCATACTTACTCCAATATATGACATTTAAGTTACACTAGTACAAAAATAATATTTTATAATGACTTATTATGATAACTCTAATTCACCTGTCATAATAATTCACCAGTCATAATAAGTTGGATAATATAAATTTTGTAATTAAAACTTATTTTTTATAACGGTTTAATTTTGAAAGACATAAAAGATATTTACTATGATGATTTAATTTTGAACCAACATAATAAGTCATCTTAAAATTGAACTGTTATAGTAAGTATTTTCTATGTTGTTTAATTTTAAATTGATATAATTAGTGACTTTGTGAATTGTATCGAGGCTAAATATTAGAGAGAGAAAATTACACGAATGTGAGAAAATCAAGTATGTCGTTTGTCCAAACTTGACCCTTATCATCACATTCATTGTTATAATAAAAGTTATAATTACTTATAAAAATAAGGGTCAAGTTTGGACAAACGACATACTTGATTTTCTCACATTCGTGTAATTTTCTCTCTCCTAATATTTAGCCTCGATACACACTCTCCTTCTCGATATCATGTCTTGATATATCATCTCTTGATATACTATCTCGATACACTCTCAATATTATGTCTCAATCAAACAATTTCTCGATACACTGTCTTGATACACTCTCAATATTATGTCTCGATCAAATAGTATCTCGATTCACTCTCAATAGTGAGTCTCGATCAATAATTTTTCGATATACTGTCTCAATTTAATCTTGATAGTGTGTCTCGATCAACAATCACTCTCGATTTACTTCTCGATAGACAATTCTTGGAACCCCATTCCCTTGGATTCCCGGGTTTCTTAGTTCCTCAAGTGCAATATTCCTAGAACTAACTTTCTCTTATCAATTGGTATTAGTAAGGTCGGGTTTCTTAGGCCACCCTTTTTTCTTTTCATAGTAAACTCTACACAAAGCGTTCCAATAATGAAGGACTTAGAAGAACATCTAATGTCTAGACTAGAGGAACGTTTGATTGAACTTGCAGGTTCTATACAAAAGCCTATGTGTGCTATTATGCAAGAAACCTTGCAAGAATTACTACAACAAAACACGGAGGCAACTAGATCAATGTTTAGAACTGACCAACTTAATTCGACGTATTCTTGTGACACACGTTTAGCAAGATTTGACTTTTCACGGTTTAATGGTGATAATGTCAACTAATGACTTTATCAATGTAACAATTTTTTCCTAATTGATAACACAATTGACAATGCTAAGGTAAGGTTGACGACTATTCATATGGAAGGTAGAACATTGTAATGACATTTTGCAATTTCAAAAACCATCAATTGTGTGGCTATGTCTTGGAAGGAATACCAAAAGTTGATTCTTGAATGTTTTGGCCATATATGTGTTAATCCAATGACGAATTTAATGAAGTTACAACAAAATAGCTTAGTATTGAGTACCATGAGCAATTTGACGCCATTATTACTCAGTTAAATCTCTCTGAAGATTATTCGTCAAGTTGCTTCTTAAGGGATGCATGTTTCAACCAACTACTGTCTATAAGGCTTTTTCTTTAGTAGGATTGTATGAGGTTGAGAATTTCTCTACTATGGTAGGCCTGATAGGGAATCAATAACAATAGGGTGTGTTAGGTCTAGATAAAAATATTTCTTTAAAAGAAGACATGAGTAAGACAAAATTGGCCCTAGGAAAATGTTTAACTCAAACATATATGAATGAAAGAAGAACTAAAGGGTGGTGTTACTTTTGTGATCAATCTTATTCCCAGATCATGATTTAACTCACAAGAAATTGCGAGTTTATAAGATTGAAGCGGAAGATGATGAGGAGGCTAGTGATGTGTTAATGATGAGAGAAACAACTTGTGCAAGAACCACAAATTTCAGTAACTGTATTGACAGAGGTGATAGAATTTAGAATAATGAAGATTATGGGTTACTATGAGAAGAAATCCTTATATAATTTGATTGATAACACTCACAATTAATAGACTTCGTAAAAAACTAAATTTATGCTTACTAAATTTCTATTTTAGAAGGAAAATAACTATTAAGTTATATAGTTTAAAAAACATTTTCATTTATACATATTAAGTATTATATATATATATATATATATATATATATATATATATATTAAAATAAATGAATAGGGAGTAATTTAATTTTCATATTATTTGATAATACTTTATATAAAAATTAAAAATGTTATATTTTATAGTTAAAATTTAACTGAGTTGGTAAAAAAATCACACTTTTATATAAATTATTGATATTAACTATAAGTATAATTTAATATCTTATCATGTTCTTAAATTCATTGGTTTATTATATCTTAAAGAAAAAGAAAAAAAAACTAATTTTTTGAAGTAACACAAAGTCCAGCCTTTTGTCAATAATGTTACACCCTTTTAAGTCCTCCTTTTCAAACATTTGTTATTTTTATAAAAGAAAAATTAAAACAAAACTTACTATTTTGTTTTTTAGTAAAAAAAGACTTGGCTAACTTAGTTTAATGGGTAGATAATTAGATTTAGTTATCACCATCATGCACCAATAATCAAATACAAATAAATTGTGGGCTATTATTATAGGTCAACTTCAACATTGGTGGCTTTAGTTGGTAATTGCTCAACCAATCAGCACACATGGCGAAGCAGTCAATGCTCGACAAACCGACCAATGAAGACTTATCTGTCCATATATGCCCAATTTCAAAATCCAGAAACCTACAAAATCACACTTTTTCTTTCTGTTTTATTTTTTAATTCTTTTTTCTTAACTGATTATATATTTACTCCTTTTACCATATTTAAAAAGAAACTCGATAAGTTTAAAAAGAGTTATGATATTTTGACGTTATTATAAAAGGTTAAAAATATTCATTCAATAAATTATTTTTTAATTTTTATATTATTTATTTCATTTTTTTATCCATCAATTAACTAAAAAAATAATATTTTAAGATTGTTAATAAGATGTTTGTAAAAATAAGTTGTAAAAAGATCTTTTCCCATTTAAAAAAGATACATATAAATTATATTTTAGTGATGTGACGAGCCTATCAGAACATAATATTTTATAAATAATTAAAGAATGTAAGTGTAAAGATTAGAAAAAGTAAAAAATATTAATAATGTAACTTATATTAGAAGTATGCTTTGTTCTGATAAACAAAGAAAGGAGAAAAAGAAAACTATACATTAATAATGTAAAACATTGTCATTGAACTACAAATCATTATATGCAATCAACATTTGTGAAAGAATGAGTAGTTGCATAGCAATTAAATATAAAAGAAAGAATGATTCTGTACTTTTGTTTGGCACGTAGCTAGATTTGTTGACTACAATTTGGTTTTGTTGAAATTTGACCAAGTCTTAAGCAGAGATGTGCCTTTACTGGCTTATGGTCAGAACCGTAGATTTTATCAATGGACTCATATGAATGCAAGGTTGCTTCCATCGTATTTTCGTCTTCTATCTTGAACAATATACGATCTGTCCATGCTGGTACTCGTACCTGAAATATATAATACATTCTTATATATGTATTTTTAACCCCATGCGTATATATATATATATATATATATATATATATATATATATATATATATATATATATTCTAGGGTACTATATATACGAGAGAAATGAAGACACTTATTCACGTACACGTAATCAACAACTTTTAAACATCACAAAATCATATTTCTAAAATGGCACATGAAAAGGATAAACTTCACACACACTATATGATTATCAGACTAGTCGAACTCAAATTAATAGTTGAAATAAAAAGAAGAAATAAAAACAATGTCACGCACTATTCAAAGATATGTTACGTCAGGATCCTAAATATTGCTGTCGAATATTGAATCCGAATCCATAACTAAAGAACTCCCAAAATGTCTCATGCACAACTAACCAAAACCATACAAGAACACAGGCACAAAATCTTTAAAATTTTCCGTGCACTTCTCTCATTTGACTTTGTTATTTGAATTTTGAAATTACGTAGCATGTAAGTTATATTATATATAATCATATTGTGTCCATAATGATTGACATAAAATCTAACGATGCATGGCGTATTAATGTGGATAATTGAAAAATGTTACTCACCTTGTGACTTGTATCATAGTTGCTACTTCCTTTGTTATACTTATAGGTTGGCTTGAAAGTCAATGTTCCCTCACAAAAACCGTTGAAAATTTGTCCTCGACGTGCTTCTTGTAGAAGTTGGTCCTTGCTGTGCAACCTCTGAAATAGCAAAATAAGGGAATAATTTATTATAACCTGTGAAAAAAATTAAATCAAGTTGAAAACTTGGTGTGATATGTGTAAAGGGTATTGTTGAACTAACCCGATGAAGGTCTTGGTCTATCAAAGTTCTGGCAGGGTATGTATCAATCCCTTGAAGCCTGTAGTTTAGATCTCCTAACCAAATAGCAATGTGGGATGGTCTCGCATATGGATTCCAGAACTTGGAAAATAGCGTGTGTGATATGTGCCTGCATTGTGAATTTCTTGCTTCCACATTGCGTGCATGAGCTAAAAATTATAAACATTTGATGTAAAATTTTGAGGGAAAAAAACATTGAAAATATAATCTCAATTGATGGAAGAGTGTTTTTAGGATGACACATAATCAATTAGAGTAGTTAAAATATTTATACATTTGAGTTCAAAACTTTTTATTTATTTTATAATTGCGTGATGAGTGATTAGGTTTTTGTAATATATGCATGCATGGTTTATATAAAATAATTAATAAACTAATTCAGAGAAACTTAATATAATTACCCGAGAGGTGGCAGGAGATGAACACCATTCTAATTCCTTTGTAGTTAATGCGAATTGCTACAGCCCCTTTCTTTCTTCCAATTATTCCTCCATACCCTCCAAAAGATTTTTTGTCTACCTTCAATTCTGATGTACAATATTATCACATTTAGTGGGGGTTACGACTAATTTATACTATTAACCACAACAAATTTTTTGGCATGAAATCTCTCACCATTGATGAATGATCTTGCATCCTTTGGCCCAAACAGGTACAACTGCAAAGATTGCATGATAACTTTACCTATCAGGCTTCATTTCAGAAAGAATGAAGGAAAAAAGGTAGAAAATTTCAATAAGTTCACATACACAATTGGGAAAATACATGCTTTGCCAATGATTTCAAAACTTTTATTAGAATTCGAGCTTTCAACTAAACCGGTTGCAAAATCTGATTCATGTAATTATAGTTTGCAACACACTTATTTACACAAAATTAGAACGACAAACCCTAAACATAAATTAAAAAAGTGTAGCAAATAAGTATATTTCTTACGTATGAGTTTCATCCAGAGCTGCTGAAAGCATGGTTGCGACTTTGTTCCGTGGACATGGAGGAGCCTCTTGCAAGCCAACAGCCAGAAGATCATACTCACGATTACTACCAACCATTTCTGCTAAATCTTCAAACTTAACCTGAATTAGCGAATGAACTAACACACATGAACATGATGACAAAAATTGAAGTCACAGAGAGTTTCTAACAAAGAAGAAATCATTGTTAAGTGAAACCACACATGAATATGATGACAACTTATTACAAAAACATTTCAATATCTAGTATCTGTCATAAGTTCTTATGACTGAAAAAAAAAATATTAGTCATTTGATGCACCTGGCCATTCATATTCCAAGTAACTATGGAGATGCAAAGATCAGAATCAGCGGAGAAATGACAAACTTTCTCAACGCCCACAGTTCTTATCCCTGTGTGAGAGGGTGAAGCTTGGTTATGAATGAAACCCGTGGGCCTTCTCTTGGATCTTGATTTTCTTCTGCAAATTGTACACGAAAAAGCAACAAAATGAGGCATGGTGAGGATTGAACAAAGAAAAAGTGGAAAGGGCAACAATAATCTAACTAAGTCCATCCATAAACATGATCGATCATATACCCTTTGCAAAGTTGGTTTCCCATATTGAGTTACGTGATTGGCTACAGCCAAACACTGGAGTTTCCGGACACGAAAACGATTTTGAGTAAAGAGTCACTTTTAAGAGATAGAAGGAGATTAAGGGATTTTAAATTATTGACGTACCTATTATTATTTGGACTATATTAATAGGGAGCCACAAAACACAAGTTCTAAACTATTCTAGAAATTGTCAACCATTTGAAATTTTCGAATATATGTGTGGTCTTATTTTGCTCACGAGTTAGGTCGGGTATAGTTGAGAACAGACACAAAGATTGAGGGAAGTTAAAACAAAGTTGAAAAGAACCGTTTGACAGACACGATCCACTATGCCATGCAAATTACGTCAAGTAACTTGGCCTACTAATACGATTTGGAACAGAAAGAAGCACCCAAAATTGTTTCCAGTTTTGACTCCTATCTCTTTGAGTATTTGTTTTTGTTCTATAGATAATCATAAACTAATCATCCTGAAAAAGTCAATACAAAATTACAAGCATGTTTATGATACTGTGGGGTTGACCAGTGACGAAACCTATAGACCAGGAAATATATAAAAAATATATATTTAATTATTATTAAATTTAGAAAGTTAAAAATCATTAATATACATATAAATTATAAATATTTAGAAGGTAAAAACCCTCGTCCCAAACTAATTATATATATATATATATATATATATATATATATATATATATATATAAAAATAAAGAAGGTAAAGTGGATGTCTTATGTACCATCCCACCAAGTTTATCTACAGTAAAAAAATTCTGCATATGTTTGAAGAAAAAATTGTTAATTTTTTTAGATTTTTTTAATAATTATTATTTATTTTTAAAATAAGGTGTTCTGTTCTATTTATTTTGAGAAAAATATAATTAATTTACGTAATCAATTTTTTATCCGTTGTAAGTTATATTCGTATGAGATTTTTTTTATGTGTTAATACTTTCAAATTGTTTTTAGAAATTTGACATCTTTACTTTTGGATGGAAAGATTGATGGAGATAGGTTGATGTTTAGTAGAAGGTGAAACGAAGAGAAATAATTTTAAAAAAATGTGATATTTACTATATTATTTCTCATTTATTTTTATTTATTTATTATATCTTTTTTTGTCTTTATTTTTTTATTTTTAAACGAGCATTTTTATTTTTTTCACTTTGTCTTTTTTATTGTATAATTATTATAACAAACAAATCATGGGAGTGTGTTATAAAAACAAAAATAGTAGTAAATAATAATAATAATAATAATAATAGGGAAAACAGATTTTTCTAGTTAGTTTAGTTATTATCGGATCTAATAAAAATCGTGATGATATTTTTGAAATTAAAACCAACTCTTATAGTTGGATCATGTAGATCTATGTAAAAAATGAAAGTTACCATTGATTTAATATATGTTTAACATAAATTGCATTTTTTATGTCGTATCTTACATGATTTGTCATGAAATTTATCTTATATCTCCTCCAACAATTTGTTTTCTTCTGGAGCAAATATTGTTTGTTGAGTAACTACGATTGTGATTATATATGAGTTTAACGTTTTTTCCTAATTGATCTTGAAGGAAGAGAAAAAATCCTCTCAAAATATAAACATAAACCTAAATTTGAACTTTTTTACATCAGATAATTACTTTAATGTAAAGTTATGTTTCTCATATTAATATTGAAACTTAGTCAAAAGTAAAAATAACAAATATAAAAAATTATGTTATGCTATACCATTTTTACTAATAATTATTATAATAATTAATTAGCATCACCATTATTATCACTATTTTTATTATGGTCAAGCATCCTAAAATTAAGTCATTATTTCTTTAAAATTTTATCTCTAATTAGGGGGTGACAAAGTTATCAGAGTCAACTCATCCAGAAAAACAAAATATGAGGCAACTACACAATTGGTTTGTATACATTTGTTTGCCGGGTGGATTAAAGACGAGGCATAGTGGAGATGATATGTACCATCAGTATAAATTTTTTATATATTTTTAAATTAAAATAATGGTGTTATAAATTTATTATATTGAGTTCTTCCATGTGATTAATTAAGATCTAATAAATTATTGTTAATCTTATTATTATACCATTTATGTATGTAATTAGGATCATATCATTTATTTTCTAATATATTTATAATATGTCAAATGAAAGAAGATTTATTTATGCAAATGTACATATACTATTTTTGATGTAATAGACTAACGATTTAATGCATGCACATATATATGTATAGAAAAAAATCATTTTTTTTTATATATGCGGACTAAATCCCATAACCATAATTATGCGGGTTGGGTCAAACAAACTAACTCACATTTTATGCACGACAAACTTTCTTGCACGCTTTTTCGGGCTAAAAGTGGGATGAGTTGTAATGGGTGGGAATTTTATCGTAATTTCTATTTATGTTTTTTTTTAATAAAGCAAAATTGGTCAAGCTCATCCCCTCCATGACCCAAGAGAGGGATAAGGTCAAATTTACAAAATACTATTCATTAACAAGACTTTACCTTGTATTTACATAATAAATTTTGCAATTTTCAAGAAATTCAAATATAATAAATATGAATTATTTTTATTTTAAATTATTTAATTTTTTAAATAATTTGTTTAGAGAAAGGAATTTGAATTTATTGAATTTTAATTATGTTGTTTGAACAAAGTACTTTAATTATTATCAAATACATAAATTATCAATAAACCTATTAATTAGGCCTAGTGTATAATATTTTACTCTTACCCACATATTTGGATCATATTGGATCAAGACTGGATCATATGACAATTAGATAAAAAAGACTAGATTGTAATGGATCGAGTTAATAAGATCAGGTATGAACGAGACAAGCTGATTTGGATCAAGAAAATTGAGTCAAGTTAGGTTAGATTCGATCAGTATGAGCCAACCATATTAGGATAAGATAAGTCATGTTGGGAAGAACCAGACCGAGTCGGATCGAGTTAAGACGAATTAAATCACTCAAGCTAAATTAAGACTAGTCAAGTTGGGTTCAATTAGATGGTCGAGATAGACTTATTAAATCATAATAGGACAAACGTATTCTGGATAATTATGTTGGACCTAATTAGAAAAGTGTGATCGGGTTAGAATATGTAGAAAACTTGAAGTATAGAAATGATACAAATGATTGTACAATTCATGACCCTAGGATAAAAGACTAGAAAAATATTAAATTTGAATAATTTTTGTTTATTTATTAAATAATTTATGCAAGCTTAACAAGTGTTTAGTTATCCATGTCCGAAACGTTCTCTTACTCGTTTTTTGTATATAACTCATATTATCATATTTCCTCTAGAAAATGGTTAGGCTCTGATATCATTCCAGACAGAACCTCCTTCTTATCCAAGCAACATAAACTTCGTGGGACATACATACGCCACCATAGCTTAAAAGCACACTCATATTCAGAATGACAATAATGCTTGATGGTTAAGTTTTCATCAAGAAAGTTAAGGAGTTTTTTAGCATGTAAGGTTGAGGTTGATATGTATCTTGAGAAAAATGTATTTCTAGAAAATCAATTTCTTATTATGTGAGGTGAATTTTCTTTTCAGGAAGTTTGATTCTGTATCAAATCAATTACATCACTAACAAATTTTCATCTTATTTCCTCTCATTTCTAACCAACTTTCCTTTGAATAAATAATCCCAATTTTTTTTTCAATTCACTTCCTTAAATCTAAATACACCGTAAAAAATGGATGAAGTGAAATCACGCCTCCTCAAAATCCATTCCCGACTAAACTTTTTACTGTATATTTTACTAAGGGAGTTATGATTCACACACATTGTAATTTGTGAAATATGAAAGAACCCACGATTATTTATGTATGCATAAGACCTTCATAACTTAATAGCGAGATATTGATATCAATTTGGGTTTAATAATATGGAGAAAACTATGAAAATGCTTGTGAAAAGTTTGATGGTAAAACTTGATAGGAAATATATGTTTTTAAAATAATATATAGTCTAATTTAATCTATATTTTAAAATAATATATAATTTTTATTTTAATATAATTTTATCGTAGGTGAATTAGGTAATAAGTTAATTTTGATTTGATGGAAAATAAAAAAATTTATTAATATAATAAAAATAAATAATTAAAAAAAATATTTTTAAATAAAAATAAAATTAAAAAATATATTTTTAAAATTTAAGTTATATTAATAAAATTAATTTTTATTTAAGATATAATAATTTAATATATATAAATTATAAGAAAAACTATTCTTTTATTCAAGTTAAAAAATTATTTTTATCATTTGTAATAGTATGAAATAGTAATTTATTTTAATAATTAAATCTTTAAATAAATGAATATTATATATTAATTTTATATTTACTCTTAAAACAAGTGATTTAAAAAAAATAATTTATGATATATATATATATATATATATAATAAAATAATAATATTTTTATTTTTATTTAAAAATTATTATTATTTTATGAAATAATATAGATATAACCTATAAACTAATATGTCTTAAATCCATTTAAGTTATATATTAAACGTGTTATATCAAAAATAGTATAATTCAATTTATCTTATAATTTTTCTTTATTTAACCTAAATTATTTTTTAAATCTTTAAAATGGTAAAGCTTATCTTAATACTTATATTTCTAAACTATCACTGAAAGAAACACAAAGATGTATTTTAACACTTATATTTCTAAGTTTGTTTTTTTAATTTGACTTATCGAAGAGTTGTAATAAATAATACTCAATTATGCAATTATATATTACGTAATATTAGATCATGCATTTACAATCATTGAAATTCTTATTTGAGAGAAAGAAGATGACAAATGATTTACCAAAATATATGGGATGGATGGATGCATTTTTTCTTTTAATCATGGATATTTTTCAACTCAAGATATTGAAAAAGGTGCATGGAATAGAAAGTGGTGATTTTTGTCCAAATATTATTGAAATTTGTCAATATATATATATATATATATATATATATATATATATATATATATATATATATATATATATAAAACTCATCTTCACTCTTTGACATAATTAAAAAAATAATTTTATATATTATTCTAGGACTCATTTAATTCATATAAATAAATAAAATTTCACAAATGATACATTAGTTCAAGGGGGCCTATTTATGAATAAAAAGTTAAGGGGTGTTTCTTCGTGCAACCCTTTTTTCTTTATCATCTAGAAAGATAATATTTTTTAACGTGAATAGGTTTCGAATTTTTTTTCGAAATATTTTTAAATTGACCATTCCAAAGTTTTCTAGCAAATTTCATCAATATTCCAAAAAATATCTGAAAATTTGATTTTATAATTTTTTTTGGAAATTTTTAAAAAAGATCATTTATGGATTTATTAACCTTAAAAATAAAAAACACATAGGGTATTTTTGTCATTTAACATAGGTTGTAGGGTGCAAAAAGAAAATATGGAGTTATGCAAAGTTCAGATGGGCCAGAATTGCTGTTTTCTATGAAGTTGGATCCTGAAATCTATTCATCTTCAAACCCAGTTAGGTCTCAAAGAGTTTGGATCATATTACAGTATATCCTTATATGCACTATCTCAAAATTCTCTTCGCTACAAGACACGAACCCACTGGATCTAGCCCTTGTCTCCATACGATCCCAGTTGTTTGGCGTGGCGAAGATTTGGGAATTTTATTGTATCTCTTTTTCATGCTCCACCATTTTCTTTGTTTCTCTTAGCTTTCACTGTGAGTATCTCTCAATCATCCCACTTCTGCTACATTTTCCTAACCCCTTTCACTATTTTGTTTTTGGCACTCTGATTACTAAAACTTTTATTTTTCTGCTGTTTGCTGTAGCAATCACTTCCGGGATTAAGTTCCTTGCCTGGAATTACTTCATAGCCTGACATGGTAACCTCTCAGAGTCTTCTGAATTTCGAATCGTATCTTCGCATGTTTGAGTGTAATTAGTGGTTGCTTTGCTTGTTTAGTTTGGCATTCTTCAAGAAAAGTATGCTTCCTGCTTGCAATTGGGCTGTTTTGTAATTTGAATTTGGCTTCCATGCTTGAGGCTCGAGGGGTTGTGGATCATCCGATTGAGGGTGGTTGGGGCTTGGTCCAACATTGTAGTTTCCATAAGCCACACTCAATAAATAGGTGTTCCTTTTTTGGTCATGCCATGCCACTCAGAGATTTTTTGAGTTCGTAACTGGCTTTTGGACTCATCGATGACTACATTCTTTGATGAATGAAATTGGAAATGAGTAAACTATTATTATCATGCTCTTTTTTGTTTAATGTAGCTACATTAACATGTAAATGGAGTCAATTTTTTTGCTTTTGTTTTATCGTAGACCTGAATTTATACATATATGATGGTAACCTATTTTGTTATCTGATTCATGTGCCCTGTTTTTTATTTGATTTGAATGTAGCGGAAAGAGCTACCCCAGGCTCCTTGCCTAACTGATGTGGAGCCAGACAGAATCAGTTACTTACCGGGTCATGTAATAGACCAAGTTTTGTCACATTTGTCAGTTAAGGAAGCAGTGAGAACAAGTGTGTTATCTAGCAAATGGAGGTACAGATGGGCCACGCTACCCAATCTTGTGTTCGATGACCAATGTATCTCTGTGGCTACTCAGGATCATATGATTATCAAGAACAAGCTTTTGAGAACTGTTGATCATGTTCTGCTCCTTCATTCCGGGCCAATCAACAAGTTCAAGCTCTCCCATCATGATCTCATTGGTGTGACTGATATTGATCGTTGGACGCTTCATGTATGCAGAAAGTCTATTAAAGAGTTTGTTTTGGAAATATGGAAAGGGCAGCGCTATAAGATACACTCATGTTTATTTTCTTGTCAAAGTTTGACTCATTTAGAATTATTCAATTGTTGGCTTAAACCTCCATCAACATTTAAAGGGTTTAAGAACTTGAAGAGTCTTGATCTTCAACATGTTACCATAGCTCTGGATGCTTTTGAAAAATTGATATCCAGCTGCCCAGTGCTTGAACGGTTAACTCTGATGAACTTTGATGGTTTCACTCATCTTAATATTGATGCACCGAATCTCCTGTTTTTTGACATTGGGGGTAAATTTGAAGATATTAGCTTTGAGAACACTTTCCAATTAGCTGTGGTATCCATTGGTTTGTATGTGAACTTTGAAATCAATCCAGGTAGATTTAATGGAGGCTCTAGCAATTTGCTCAAATTTTTTGTTCATCTACCACACGTGCAAAGGCTGGAGGTTCAAAGCTATTTTTTAAAGGTAAAATGCTCATAATATCGCTTTTCCAAAACAGTTCTTGTCAAATTCTTGATCATTTGAATGTGGAATTGGAATATAAAAATGCCCTAATACTGTTTTCTTCCCTACAAATCAACCATGCTGACGTGCATGCCTATATTCAAATGCTAGTATTAAAACAAATTTTATAATGATTTAAGCCATTCATCTGTTTCTTGGTTCTGCTCCAGTATTTGGCAGCGGGGGTTGTGCCAATAAAGCTTCCAAGACCATGCATTGATCTAAGCTATCTTTCCATACGCATAAACTTCAACGATTTGAAGGAAATCTCAGCTGCTCTCTGCATCTTAAGAAGCTCCCCTAATCTACAAGAGCTAGAAATATTGGTGAGTACTCCTTACAAGTTATTTTGACTTGCCTTTGCTTACTGTTTTCAGTTCCACATAAGCCTTTGCTTACTGTTTTGCACTTCCACATACTGATTTCGTTTTTTCAATAAAGTTAGTAGAATAGTCAATTTGGTGCTTTAAAGTGTATGAAAAATTCAATTTAATCCTATAATTTAAATAAATTAAAATAAAGTCCTTGAAAATAACTTTAATATCTCATAATCATTTTTCATTTCAAGTGAATTCTTACATGTTATCATTAAAATATAGCTTTGTCCCTCTATGTTATTAACATATAGTTTAGTCCCTCTATGTTATGATAAAATATAATTTAGTTTATATATTTAAGTACTAAATTGCATGTTAATGATAATATATAGAGACTTGTTTGAAATAAATAATGAATATGAAAGATAAAAGTTACTTTTTGAAATTATTTATTTATTTATTAAAATTGAAGGGTTAAATAGAAAAAAATGTGCATTTTAAAGGACTAAAAAGACTATTCGGCTTAAAATTTTCAAATGAGTATAGTGTGGGGCAGGTGCTTTCTTTAAGTTCTGGATCTAGTCTTGGGTGTTTCTTGCAATTGTGAACTGCGATGGCATGTAGGCTCGACCGGAGGAGCAGACTGTTCAGTTAACACACACCTATTGTTGGGAAGATGTCTATTTTGCTTGTCCAGACATGCATCTGCGATATGTAAAGATAGATGACATATCTGGTGTCAAACCTGAATTAGATTTCATCAACTTTCTACTTCTATACTCTCCTGTGTTAGAAAGGATGACTGTGAAGCCTGCTTCAAACATCGGAACAGAACTGATGAAAGAACTTTTGCGGTTTAGGAGAGTCTCAAGAAGAGCTGAAATTATTTACCTTGACTCTCCTTAGAGTGTGTTTGGAAACAAGTTTTACACCAATCTGAAAAATGCTGAAGCTAAACTATTAGCATCTTTGATGTGAAAAGTCCTTTGGTTACTTTACACTCATCTATGGATGGAAGATGCTCTTGTATGTTTAAAAACCTTGCTTCAATGAATCTATAATTTGAAAAGTTATTATTGTGTTTGAATGATTAACTGCATTTGTAATCATTTTTAATTTGAACAACACATGATTTTATGTCCTTAATTTTTTTAATTAACAGATTATTTTGTTTATTTTACCAAGCTAAAAACTAAAATACAACCTTGTCCAACAAGTTCTTACCAATTAAAATTGCGTAAACCATATTTAAATCTAAATCTCAATAGTATATAATATTATCTATTGGTAATAACAATTTCATATTTATAATATGAACTGTTTAGTCCTCGAGTCCTCAGACTAATTTGAAGGTTAGGCTTGTAGAAAACAAGACCTGTACCATCTAATATCCAGCATTAATCCAGGGTTGGTCGTAGACCGATCTCGGGGTTTGATTTCCAGGCGATGACATTTTTTCTCTTAAAAATCTAGGAGATTCTAATATGAACCTGACAACTGATTGATCAATATTAATATTTAAGAAGCTTGACAAATATAAAAAAGGTATAGCAGTTGATAGGATGCCCTAGCATCTCTTTTCATATCTTTGTCCAAGTTTGGTGAAAAAGGTTCTCTCCCCTATTTCAAATATTTAAGAAAGAAAGAACATTTTGTGCTGTTAGAAGATTATTTGTAATAATGCTATGTAATAGATAACCGTTTAAAATAATTCTGTTAGTTAATAATTTTGGATAAGTTTGGTGTGGTTGGCTTTTACGAGGGAAATATAATAAAGTTTTTTCTTTTTCTTGAATCCTCGATAGTTTTTCTTGTTGGTATTGTGAGTGAGTATTGTGCAGTGGGGGAATGAGTCTTTGGCGTGGAGGTGTGTGAGGTATTCCTAACCTTACAAGACATTGAGATATACAGAATTATCACATTGGTATCAGTTAGCTTGGGGAGGATGGTGACTATGAAAGAATTAGAAGTTTGTATGGATTCTCATGAAAGGATTCTCATCATCAATAATTGGTGCAATTATCTTTGGAAAGAATGCAAAAGTTTATGGAGGGACTTGCGACATTAATCACGTCATTCGCAAATATCCAAGAATGGTTCTTATAAGGAAGAAAGGAAGGAAGAATTGCCTCCTGCAAGATCTTCATTACTGGAGCGGGCGCAAATACCTTTTCATACGTTTGATGGGTCAAATTTTCGAGACTGGAAGGCTAAGGCGGAACAATTCTTTGATTTGGAACAAACTCCGGAGACATACTATTGTAATTCACGGATGGTAAAGCCTTTGCTTGGCAATGCCATTATATGCAGAATCCTACAAAGAAATTCAAAACGTGGCGACAAATTATTCAAGATACGGGTAATCGCTTTGATCTTGGGGCTATTGATGATCCCATTGCGAAGTTAACAAAGTTAACACATGATCGAGCCTTATTGGAGTATCTGGAAAAATACGATTCGTTATTATCCAGAGTGGTTATTTATGAAGATATTGCTTTGAGTTTTGTTTTTGTTTGGATTAACAAGAGAATTAGAAAGGGCAGTATGTGTGCAAAGTCCACAAACAGTACAAGATGCGATACGAATTGCAAGACTTCAAAATGAAATGTTACAAGCTATGGCCACTCGTTTTTCTTATGGTCAGGTGCCTAGTTCGAATTCTTATGAACGATCTGAAAGGAATGGGTTATCGTTTTCTTCGACCAATAGGAATTATCCTATTACGATTTTAAAATAACAGATACCTTCACGAGGGACATACACTTCAAATGTACCAGATTCCAGGGGCTCAAATACTCCTACGTTATCCGGAAAACAAGTTAATGAAAGAATTGCTAAAGGCCTTTGTCGATTGTGTGGGGATAAATGGGATAAAGACCATAAACAAATATGTAAAGTATGGGTAAGCTGCATGCTATATTTGTAGCATAAGAGCATTTGTTTGCAGATCTTTTAGAGGATACATATAGTCAAAACGACACTGATCTTATTGTCAATAATTTGGATATGGTTTGGGATTCTGATGTTCACATTTCTTTAAATGCTTTACAAGGAGTAGCTGGAGGAAATACTTTTCAAATGAAATGTCTCATCAAGAAACGTTTTGTTCCCTTTCTTATGGACACTGGCAGCACCTATAATTTTATAAGTGCTCATTGGGTTAAAACTTTGGGGTTGAAGTCTTCTTATATATCAGATTTCCCTGATATGGTGGCTTCTAACAAGGAGTTAATAGTTATTCATAGTTACTCGCAGGTGGAGTGGCAATTTAATAATCATACCTTTCATGCTGATAATCTGGTGTTACCTAGCACTTCATTTGGAGTGTTGAATATAGAGGAAATACGGTTTGAGATTAATCTCTCTTGTGTATAAACCACACATAGAATAATCTATTTATAATAGAGATAGATACAACTAAAAGAGTAACCGAAAGTAAACAAAATAAATAAAAGATATTGTTTGATATTGTGGTTAACAATATCTAACAATATTTAAAAAATATTTAAAAAATATCTAACATTCCCCCTCAAGCTGGAGCATACAAATCGTATGTGTCAAACTTGTTACAAATATAATCAATTTTAGGCCCCCGTAAAGACTTAGTAAAAATATCTGCTAACTGATCACTTGAGTTAACAAACTCAATCTTGATGTCTCCAGACATAATCTTTTCTCGAATGAAATGACAATCAATCTCAATGTGTTTGATCCTTTCATGAAAGACAGGATTATAACTAATATGAAGAGTAGCCTGATTGTCACACACAAGTGTCATTTGAGTGACATATCCAAATTGTAACTCTCTAAGCAATTGCTTGAGCCAAACAAGTTTACAGGAAACTGAGGTCATAACTTTATATTCTGCTTCTGCACTGGATCTTGTCACAACCCTCTGTTTCTTACTTTTCCTCGAAATCAAGTTACCACCAATAGAGACACAATATCCAGATGTAGATCTTCTATCCGAAAGAGATCCTACCCAATTAGTATCTGAGTAGCAAACAACTCTTGTGTGGTTATTAGAACCATATAATAATCATTTTCCTAGATATCCTTTAATATACTTCAAGATATGAATGACTGCATTCCAATGATCTTCACATGGAGAATTAAGAAATTGGCTTACCACACTGACTGCAAAGGAAATGTTAGGACGAGTAACTGTAAGATAATTCAATTTTCCAACCAATCTTCTATACTGCTCAAGATTAGATATAGGCTGCTCCCCTGATTTGGTAGAAGTTTAGTATTAGAATCCATGAGTGTATCAACAGACTTTGAACTCATCAACTCAGTTTCCTCCAAAATATCCATGGCATACTTCCTTTGAGATATAACAATACCATCATTGGACTGTGCCACCTCAATACCCAAAAAATATCTAAGTTTGTCAAGATCTTTGGTCTGAAAATGGTGACATAGATGTTGTTTCAATTGAGAGATGTCATAGTTGTCACTACCTGTAAGAATGATGTCATCAACATATACTATCAAGTAAACACATCCAACACTCGAGTGTCGATAAAAGACAGAATGATTTGTTTCACATCGAGTCATACCAAATTGTTGAACAACCTTGCTAAACTTTCCAAACTAGGCCCAAAGAGATTGTTTTAGGCCATATAGGGATTTGCGAAGACGACATACCATCCCAGAAGAATCCCCCTGAGCATCAAAATCCAGAAGGTTGCTCCATATATATTTCTTCTTGCAAATTACCATTGAGAAAATCATTTTTAACATCCAGTTGATAAAGAGACCATTGTTGAAGAGCGGCCATGATGATAAATAAACGAACAGAAGCCATTTTCGCCACCGGGGAAAAGGTATCTCCATAATCCAACCCAAAAATTTGAGTATAACCTTTGGCCACAAGACAAACTTTGAGGCGATCAATAGTACCATCAGGTCCAATTTTGATAGCAAACACCCACCTACAACCAACAACAGATTTTCCAGACGGTAACAAGATTAATTCCCAAGTTCCACTATTATGAAGAGCACTTAGTTCATCTAACATGGCCTGACGCCAACCAGGATGGGCTAAAACTTCACGGACAGTTTTTGGAATGGTCACAGAAGAAATAGAGGAAAAACATGTATAAAAAGGTAATGACAGTCGATGATAACTCAAAGCAATATAATGGGGAGAGGGATTACGTGTAGAACGGATACCTTTTCGGAGGGCAATGGAAATGTCAGATTCAGGTGTTAGATCCGGAGGAGACAGAGTAGTTGGCACTTGAGTGGAGTCACATGGTGGTGGTTGTGATTGATTTCGGCAACTATAAACCTAAAGAGGCGGTGGAAAAGAAGCTAACTGCAGAACATGAACTAATGGTGAAGAAGACACAGTTAAAGTGTCACACACAACATGAACATTAAATGTACTAGGAGTGTTGACAGGATTGAATGAAGACAAATGTGAATATTGACTTTTAAAATAAAGAGAGAACTCATCAAAGGTAACATCTGCAGACACAAAATAACGGTTAAGAGAAGGAGAAAAATATTTGTATCTTTTTTGTGATCTTGTAAACCATAAGAAAACACGTTTATGTGATCTAGGAGAAAACTTATCAAAATCAGGACTTAAATTATGAACAAAACATGCAGATCCGAAAACTCTTAGAGGTAAGGAATGAAGAGGTTCATGAGGGAATAAAATGGAATGAGGTATTTTATTATCTAAAACTGAAGAAGACATGCGATTAATGAGATAACATGCAGTAAGAAGAGCATCACCCCAAAAATGTTGAGGAATCTCTCCATGAATTAAAAGAGTGCGAGTTGTTTCAATAAGATGTCTATTTTTGCGTTCAACTACACCATTTTGTTAAGGTGTATAAGCACAAGAAGTTTGATGCAGGATACCGTGAGAAGCCATGAATTGTTTAAAAGAA